TGGTGGCTGGAATAGAGGCCAAGGTTTTTATCACCTATCTTACTCATTACCTCAGTAGTGCTAGAATGCCATTGTTATATCCTTTAACAACTAATTATTGAAAGTGTACCTTGACAATAGAATTAATTCTAGCTGCCCTCTGTGTGTTACATTTCAATTCTGACCTCACTGTTCCCAATCCCCATTTATCATTCTCTCTGTGTGTGTGTGTGTGTGTGTGTGTGTGTGTATGAGAGAGAGAGAGAGAGAGAGAGAGAGAGAGAGAGAGAGAGAGAGACAGACAGACAGACAGACAGACAGACAGACAGACAGACAAGGAATCTCAAAGCTATTTTGTTCCATGACATCTCCACTTGGCTTTTAGAGAAGACATTCAGTGTTTCATATATACAGGTAGTCCTCAATTTGCAACCAAATGTTTAGCAACCATTAGAAGCTATACCAGCACTGAAAAAAGTGACTTGCAATTTGGACGCTTGGCAACAGGCATATATAATGGGTGAAGCAAGCAAGGCTGCGTGACACAGGTGGGTGAGACTAGGATTTTATTATTGGCTGGGATTTTGCTTGTTTGTGCTAAGCCAGCTTTCAGAGCTTCAAACACAGTTTGCATTTTTCTCATCACAAAATGGCAAAAGCCATGTTTCCTCCTGCTCAGTAAAGGCTTTTGCTGGAGCTGCCCACAAAGATTTTATGGGTGGCAAAGTAAGGATAAATAAGGGAACACCTGTTTGCCTGTGTGACAAACTCGGTTTTCTGCAGTTTGGTTAGGTCATATAGGAACGATACAGGCAGTCCTCGACTTACACTCACAATGGAGCCCAGAATGTCTGATGCTAAGCAAGAAAACTGCTAAATGGCTTGTCTCATTTTACAACCTTTTTGCCACAGTGGTTAAGTGAACCGCTGCAGTTGTTAAGTGAATTCAGCTTCCCCCACTGACTTGTTGGAAGCCAGCTGGGAAGGTGACAAATGGTGATCACATGACTCTGGGAGAGTGCGGTTATCATGAATACACGCCAGTTGCCAAGTATCCGAATTTGGATTATGTGACCTTGGGGAGGTTGCAATGTAAGTGTGAAAACTGGTGTTAACGCTGCTAACATCGGATGTTTTTGCTTCGACAACAGTTAGAGATGCAACCATTTTATTTTTGTTTTACTTTTAGAGTTAGATGATGCTGGGGGGAGGGGAGGAATGTGCATGAGAGTTTAGATAGACATAACAACACTGGACCTAGTGTGTGAACCAAGGTTATTGAAATAAGAGATGATAAGAATTGGCCGGCTGAAGAACTGGAGGGAGAGTCTGCATTTCAAGCTAATTGGGGAATGTGATTTATGACAGTTAATTGGAGGAGGGAATTGTGCTTTGATACTATGTGCTCAGGGGAGGGGAATCTAGTTTTTGGCTTCAACTGTGTTAGTGCCGAAACAATGCTTCGAAGTTCTTTGAAGAGTTTCATTTGTCGGAACCATGACAGCTGGCTGTAAATTACTTGTTCAGTGCTGCTGTAATCTCCAACAGTCTGTAAACGAATGGTTGTAAGTTGAGGACTTCCTGTAATCTGTAAACCATGTTTTATGGCTTAGCATTCTGAGAAGCCACCTTCTACGATTTTGCCAACAGAACAGAGTTAAAGCAAACCATGGCATAGAATTCACGGACCCAGCTCCTGTATTTTAAGAAAACAGGATTCCTGGCTTGCTGCATGCAAGTAAGAGCAGGACATCCTTTTTAAAAATATATAATAATAATAATAATAATAATAATAATAATAATAATAATAATAATAATAATAATAATAATAATAATAATAATAATAATAATAATAATAATAATAATAATAATAGTAAAGTTGGAAGGGACCTTGAAGGTCATCTAGTCCAACCCCCTGCTCAGGCAGGAAACCCTATACCATTTCGGACAAATGGCTGTCCAGTCTCTTCTTAAAAACTTCCAGTGTTGGAGCATTCACCGCTTCTGGAGGCAGGTTGTTCCACTGGTTAATTGTTCTTAATTGTTCTCTTATCATCTAGTTCAGCGGCTCCCAACCTTTTTTCCACCTCGCACCCCTAGAACGCTTCTGATATATTCTCGCATCCCTTACAAAAGTTCAAAATAACGGCAATGAATTGTGCATATACACTATAATTTTGAAAACCCAAGTTTTCGTACCCCCTGGAACATTGTCTCGTACCTCCGGTTGGCAACCCCTGATCTAGTTGAACCTTTCTCTTGTGTTAAGGTAATGATTTAGAAGCTAACCAGCTTGTATAATGTAAGATGAATGATGCAATATTAGGAATGACTCAGCAGGAGTCTGTATCCCTTTAAGAGCTTGAGTATAAAAGGGAAGGCCTTGCTGGAGTCTTTCTCTCTCGTCCGTTTCCTGCTGTAATTGCTGTATATTGGAGTTCGCTGTTTCACCATGTGTATGTATCTCGTTTCTAGTGTATATTTGTAGATAGTGTGTAATATAAACCACCATTTAATACAAACCACTGTTTACTGCATTTACTCCTGGGTTACCTCAGCGCAATAAGGCTGTGCGTGCTCTGACATCTTGGTCCCAATCTGGAGATAGCACATTAAGTTTTGATACAACTTATTTCTTTCTAGCCCTTGATTAGTGGAAACTGAAGAAGTTACCTGGCTTAGGTTCCTGCTCCAAAACGCACATCTTATTTTAAGCTAGGAAAGAGTCTCTGGAATTCATTTGAAAGGTGATGTCAGAAGATCAAACGTACCTAATGATTTGTCCTTCATCTCCTGGAGTGGCAGGTCTTAAACCTAAGACTATATGGCACACCTAGACAAAAAAAAAGAGATGGGAGTGAAAAAGAGAAGGTGAGAAAATTTACTTGTGCCAGACAAAAGGGCACAAAGTTAATAAGTTATTCTTCTCGGTCAGATAACGTTTGAACATCTATTTTGTATCGGAAGTCCTCGACTTGCGACCACAATTGAGCCCCAAATTTCTGTTGCTAAGCGAGAGAGTTGTTGAGTGAGTTTTGCCCCATTTTACCAGCTTTCCTGCCACAGGTGTTAAATGAATCCCTGCGGTTGCTAAGTGAGTAACATGGTTGTTAAGTGAATCTGGCTTCCCCAATGGACTTTGCTTGTCAGAAGGTTGCAAAAGATGATCACATGACCCCGGGAACACTGCAGCCGTCATAAATATAAGCCGGTTGCCAAGTTTCTGAATTTTGATCAGGTGACCCTAGGGATGCTACAACGGTCCTAAGTGTGAAAATCAGTCGTAAGTCACTTTTTTCAGTGTTGTTGTAATTTCAAATGGTCACTAAATTGTAAGTCGAGAACTACCTGCAAAAGATAATTTTCCTATTCAAAGTAAACAACTGAGGCCACTGGCAGCTGGAAACATCTGGCCAGAATGAAGCTATCACAAATAACTCAATTCAGACATTGTGCCAAACCAAGTTTCTGCTTCCAGAATCAAATCATCATTTCAGGGCTGCTTTCATTCCCCATCCTTATCTGTATGCTAAATGTCTCTCTATTGCAGCCTTCTCTGTCATACTGGATTTATCCCCTGCCAACTTCATTTAGTACACTGAATGCATACGCTAGCTGTGGCGTGTAAGAATTCTGGCATCTGAAGCTGCAGCTCAGTACATACATGCGTCGCCTCGTTCTACGAGCAGGACGTAACGCTTGGCAAAAGGGCTGCCCAACCCAGTTTGAGAGAGCAGGTAAGAATGATGCCGCTGAACGCCTCCACCTTCTTGTTCGTCTTGCAGAATATCTTTTCCCCCATTCAAAACAACAGAATTTTGCTTTAAGATCTTCTAAAACACCACAATGTGAGCCAACTATGCTGGGCACTGTTATCATTCTTTTGAACGGTCACTAAACAAATAGTTGTACGTTGAGGAGTTATCTGCATTATTTTATTCCTCTCTCTCTCTTTCCCTCCCTCCCTTCCTCTCTCTTTTTCCATCCACCTCCTTCCCTCCTTCCCTCCTCCACTTACCTACCCCCTCTCTCCATCTTTCTCCTTCTCTCCCTCCCTTCTTCTCCCCCTATCTCCCTCCCTCTCCTCCACTTACCTACCCCCTTTCTCCTTCTTTCTCTCTCTCCATCCCTACTTCTCTCCCATCTCCCTCCCTCTCCTCCACTTACCTACCCCCTCTCCCTCCCACCATCTCCCCTTTTCTCCTTCTCCCTCCCTACCTCTCTCCCCCTATCTCCCTCCCTCTCTCCTCCTCATACCTACCCCATATCTCCCTCCCTTTCTCCTTTCCCTCCCTCTCCCTCCCTACTTCTCTCCCCCATCTATCTCCCTCCCTCCCTCTATCTCTCCCTCCCTCCCAACCTCAAAATGGCAAACCTATGCACCAGTGCACACCAGCCCATTGCTTGTGTGGCCCAGTTGTCCTTCCCCCCTGCCCCACTGGGCCACCAAGCAGCAAAGGTTGGACTACCACCTAGAACTAAGCAACCTAGAACTAAGGAGAAACTTCCTGACTGTTAGAACAATTAACCAGTGGAACAACCTGCCTGCAGAAGCGGTGAATGCTCCAACACTGGAAGTTTTTAAGAGGAGACTGGATGGCCATTTGTCTGAAATGGTATAGGGTTTCCTGCCTGAGCAGGGGGTTGGACTAGAAGACCTCCAAGGCCCCTTCCAACTCTTCTATTATTATTATTATTATTATTATTATTATTATTATTATTATTATTATTATTATTATTATTATTACTACTACTATTATTATTATTATTATTGTTACTATTATTGTTACTATTGTTACTATCTTAACCACTTTACCAAGCCAGCTGATGTTAGTCAGGCAAAAGAAGCACCTCTGCAAAGCTCACACTTCCCAAAAAAAAAACCCAACAACTTCAAAAACAAAAAACAAAAAACCAGGCGTCCCCAGGAATGCAACTGACATAAGAGCTGATGCAGCATTTGGCATTCCGTGACTGCAAAGCAGGCAGCCAAATCCAAGGCCTGCGTTCCACGGGAGGTTTGGGCTTGCAGGAAAAGTACCTGAAAAAGCAGATTCAGGAATTCGTTGGCAAGAGCACTTTTCACACTCCAGATCTGATAATCCTCAAGGGTGAGATGACCAAGCTGAAGTGGAGGAGGAAGGAAGGAAAATCAATGGTTTGTTTTTTTTACCCCAAATGTTTGGCTCAATGCTTTCTCTCTATCCTTTCCTCCCTCCCTCCCTCCCTCCCTCCCTCCCTCTCTCTCTCTCTCAC